GAGAGATGAAATGTGTAAGGCCTCCTGCCCCTCCCCCCCCAGCCCCGCTGGCCCCCACCCAGGCTGAGGTCAACATCAACCTTCTTGACCCCCTCCGCCCCCACAGCTGGATGCTAATGAGGCGGAGCCCGTGTTTGATGAACGGGAGGGTGTGGACGAGTACAACGAGATGCCCATGCCTGTGTAGCAGCTGCCTGGACCGACAGCCAAGGGACGGATGGACGGAGGGAGCAGGGGCTGGGGGGTGCTCTCTCCATCCCCTCCCTCGTTTTTATTTAAGTGAATAATTTAAAAGTCCCCATACCATTCCCACTCCCCCACCAGTAAAGTGCTTCGGCCCCCACCTACCCCTGGCTTTCTGTCTCTGTATGGGGAGGATGCGTGGATGGAAAAGTGGGGGGCGGGGGGCCCAGCCCGCTCCCTGTCCCAGAAACGAGATGCACGATAGGGAAGGAAAGGGACTTTAATGAGAAACCAAAATATAGAGAGCCAAAGTGCAAACTGTCCACCCCCCCATTCCGGGGGGGGTCATCCTGAGCCCTATGTGCACCCCCCTCATCCCCCTTCCGGCCCCCAGCGGAGGCCCAAGGCCTGGAGCTTCTGCCTCAGGTAGCTCTTGAGCTGGGGCAGGCCTCTCTGTGACTCCAGTTCCTCGAAGGGTAGCTGCAGGGGAGGGGAGCAGCAGGTTACCCCCAGGGTCTGTGGGCTGGGCGGAGGGGTGGCAGGATGGCATGGCGGCTCTCGCGGGGCAGGGGGCTGCTCTCACCGGCAGGAGCTGGTAGCCCAGCAGGCCCAGGTGCCGCTCCCGTAGGGCCCGGGAGCCCAGCAGCACTCGACCATCCCGGCAGAAATGCCAACGTTCCCGCAGCATCAGCACCACCCTGGAGGGGGCGGACCATGGCTCGGCGTGGTGTCCACAGAGGCGGGGAGGCTCTCCCGCCCTCTTCCCTTACCTCTGGGCAGGGTCGTGGGTGGTGGGCTGAGAGGCAGCCTGGCCCTGGGGACAGAACCTGGGAGGGTAGGGTAGGAAGGGGTCCTGGGTCCTCACGGGAAGCACAGCACCAGAGCTGCTGACACACAGCAGGAAGTCTGGAAGGGCAAGAGAAAGGGCGACTGGCTTCTAGCCAAGGCTCTGCATCCTGGCCGGCCACCCGCCCGCGGGGAATCACCTGTGCAGTAGCCTGGAGGCACGGTCAGGTCCTGTCGGTACTTCTCCTCCCCTAGCAGCTGGCGCAGCCCCTCCGCCACTATATCCTTGTGACTGAGGCGGGAGGGGGAGCAAACACCGATAGGGAAAGGCTCAGGAGGCTCGACCCTGGCAAATGCCTCTAACGTCCCAAGGCCCGTTTTTTGTTTTTTTTCTCTGACTGCTAAGTGTGTGTCAGCACAGACAGTCCAGGGTCCCCCTGGCTTTTCTACTCTGTCCTGCCCGCAGGCTCGTCCCCTCCCCTCCCCCAAGCCGCCCCATCCACCTGTACTTGCAGCGGGCACGGTCAGTGATGAGTGGCTGGGGGAAGATGGGCACTTGCTGCCTTCGGGGAAGGCGGGGACCCCGGTATCCTGGAAGCTCCAGCTCCACAGCCGTGTCTAGCAGGGAGAGGTAGCGCCGCACAATCAGGGCATGAGGGGTGCCTGTGGGAAAGCAGGACTGAGGCTCACGGGGCTGCAGGCTCCCACCCCCACTTTCCCCCCCAGCCAGCCCTCCCGGCCGCGCACCGCTGATGTGGTTGATGAAACTTGGGGAAAAGACAAAGTGCAGGGCTCTGAAGGGCAGGCACCGAAGCTGGCACAGTGACATCAAGATGTTGACAGTAGCCAGGGGAGCCACCCCTGCTTCCCGGGCCAGGATCCTCTCAAGGCAGGGCATAAACTGCTGTTCCAGGGGCAAGTAGTTCAGCCGCCCAAAGGGCAGGACCAACTTCTGTACCACCTGTGGAGGAAGAGCAGCCCTTCACCCAGCACGAAACAGTTCTCCAATATCCTTCACAAGCTGAACCTCAGGGAGGCTTGGCCTGCAAGCTTCTAATGTCTCTGTAAAAGCAGAACAATCCCTCTACCCCGACGTACACACCAGAAGTTCGACAGCATAACCAGTGTCTTGAGCCCCATGTGATTAATCAAACCAGTGGAGGAGACATCGCTGTGGGGTCTGGCCCTGAAGACTTAAGAGGAGTGGGCTCAACGAAGCTAAGACAGTGCCGAGTGCGGAGAACTGCAGAGAACCAGGCATACACGCTGGGTAGGTGGACAAGCCAGGTGGGGGTGAGCAAAGATGAGACCCCAGGGGTACAGAGCAGAGAGCCTGGCTGGTTGTCTGCTGCAGGAGGCAGCCAATCAAGCTGAACAGGGGGCCGGGCCTGACACCGAGGAGGGCTAAGAGAGGAGCATGGCAGGGTGGGAGGTAATCCCACCTTGCTGCTGAGCTGGGCTTCCTGGACCACCAGGAAGTGGGCAATGGCTTCCAGAAGCTGGGGCTCCCGCAACCGGTGCCGGGCCAGGTGCTGGGCCAGGAGCACCATCACGTGGGGAGTCAGTTCCTCTGGCCTGGCCTCTGTGAAGAACAGCCTATTATGCTGGACCCTCAGGCCAGATCTTGACTAGATTCCACCTCGGCCCAGACACCACCACCTGCTTCCTCTTCAGCCCCTCCCGCCACCTGCCTTCAGTCCCCTCCAGCACCTGCCAGGCTGCGGATGAGGTGCTGCTGCGGACGCCTCAGGAAACGAGGGCAGCTCAGAGCAGCTTCCAATCTTTGCCCACTGCGCAGGCCAGGTTGCAGAGTGGGAGGTGGCTTCGGAGGGAGGCGGAACCTTCTCTCCTGCTCCAGGGCACACATCAGGGGCCCATCTGATGGGAAGCCTGAGAGGGAGAGGGTCAGAGGAGGCAGGCCTGGTAACGGGGCACTGCTCTCTTCCAGTCATGGGGGTCAGTTGGTGAATTCCCAACCTTTCACGTCTCCATGTTCTGGATGGAAGGGTTGCTACAGTGTAAGTAGAAGCACTGGAGAAATGTGAAATACCACGTGCACGTGAGGTATCACAACAGTCTGCGGGGAAGACCTGATACAAACATGGCAAATAAGCTCTCATTGCACGCCAACGGTGACAAACAGTAGTGGCTTTCTAGAGCACCATGTTGGAAGGAATCAGGGTTGGCACCCCTAGCTAAGCTGGAGCGAATGCTGCTGGACTCCTGCTGTCTGCTGTGGATACAGGGGAGCAGCACCAAGTGTGCCAGGGGATGCACCATTCCTGGCAAAGCCTGAGAGGTGAATTCTGTCAGTGATCTTGGGTCTTCTATGCTCTTTCTCTATTCTTCCGTTAACACCCACCCCCCAGACACCCTCCTCACCAAGTAAGACTGCAAGGTGCAGACACACGTGGATGGTGTGAATATCAAAGGAGGGGCAGTTTCGGATGATGAGCTGACTCAAGTCCTGTAGTGTGGCCTGCTCCACGGGAGGGGGCCGTGGCTGAGACCCCAAGAGCTGGCCCAGACGACGAAGTGCCACAGGGTAGTGATGGGCGCGCACCTTGGTGGGGTTCTGGCCCAGCCAACGCAGCAGCTCCCCAGGGCTCCTCGCCTGTTCCAGAAGCCGCTGTAGCCCTTGCACAGGGCCTGCGTGGAGGCCTCCTCCAGGAGGCCGGTCCCCCCACTTGCTGGGCCCCAGACAGCAGGGCTGTACTGGCGGGAGCAGCAGCAGGCCAGACAGCCGAGCAGCGGAGGCCTGGGCAGAGAGCAGGACTCGAAGCATGGAGTTGGGTGATGGAGACCCTGAGGGGCAGCCCAGAAAAGGGGGTGAGGTTTTCTCCAAAGGGGAGAAAAACCGGCTATCCACTCCTGACCTCACTCCCCATTCAGAGGGCCCTGGGGTCAGAGCAACCCACTCGTGCTCACCCTTCCTTGTGACTGCTCTAGTCTTCTTCCCCACCCCGCCCCTCTCTTGCCTCCTTCCATCCTTTGAAACAGCACCTTCGGTGTCCTCAGCACAGTGATATTTACAAAACAAGTCCACATGCACTACGTATCACCTCTGATGCTTCGTACGCGCCTCGGAGGTGGTAGGCAGGGCTGGCGCTACCTCGATTTCACAGGTGGAGAAACCAAGGCCCCGACAGGATAAGGGGTTAAGCCCGAGGTCACGAATCGGGTTAGTGGTCGTGCCCAGCCTGGAGCCCAGCTTGCCCCGTCGATACGCCCTCCCGACCACCTCCCCCTCCCGCAGGAGGCGGCAGCGGCAAGGAGGGTGGAACGCGGGCTCGGCAGCCGGGCGGTCCTGGGTTCCATGCTGGGCGCTCCCACTTACCAGCTGCATGACCTTGGACAAGTGGCTTCGTCTCTCTGCCCGTGAAACGAGAACGCAGCGCGCACCTCGCAGGGCGCCCGTGGAGCCCGAGCGCGCAGCTTTGCCATGGCGCGGAGTCGGCGGTGTCAGGGGCCCCCACACCCACCCGGGCCCGGCAACGCCAGGAGACCGTGGTCACGGTCGCCAACACCAACCCCCGCCGCCCTCCCGCAGCCCGCCCCGTAGGCGCCACCCCTACATGGCTCCCCAGGCCCCGCGCAGGTCGCTCCCTCAGTCGGTCTAGGGGCCCGGGAGCCGGGCTCCCCCCGCGGCCTCCTCATCGGCAGGCCACCGAGTCCGCCATCTTCCCAGCAATCCCCGGACCGCGGTGCGGACGCCAATCGCGGCTCAGCCCCCGACCAGCACAGACGTGGCTCCCGTCAGGCCCCGCGCGCCCCGGCGCCGCGCGCCCCGCCCCCCGCTTCCGGGAAGCTGCGCGCGCCGAGCCGGGGCGGTGCCGGGGCCGGAGGGGCGGAGCCAAAGGGCCAGGCGCCGAGGCTGGGACGAAGAGAGAGAGCGGAAGTCGGGGGCCCGTCGTGTAAGGTCGGGCGCCCGACGGGGCGCACTCCGCGCCCTTCTCGCCTTTCTTCCCAGTGGACAAGGGCTCCCCGCGCAACACCCCCACGGGCCCACGCACCCAGACACACACCAGGAGTGAAAACTTCACAGTTATTTAATCTGCACGTGTTCCACACAATCCCTCTGCCCCTCCCAGCTCCCCTTCCCCAGCGCCCCGCAGTCCTTAGGTCCTCAAATCAGCCCCAGGAGCTATTAGGGACTAGAGGTGGCTGGGTCCTCAGGCGGGATACTGAGAGGGGCCCAGGGGTGTGGCCCGGCTCTGCCCAGGGCCGAGGCAGTGACAGCAGCTGCCTGACCCCGAGGAGCCGACTGTCAGTGGGGGCTGAGGGCCAGCAGCCCGGGGACGGGGCCCAGAGCCCCGGCGGTCACAGGGAGGGGCGTCGGCCGACTCGCGGAGCGCTCTGCTGCGCAGGGCCGGGCTCCAGGCCAGCGGGAATAGGCAGGCCGGAGAGGTGGGCCTGGGCAGACAACAACGCCCACTGTGTCGTGGGGAGCGAGGTCCAGAGGGGCCGGCAACGCCTCCGAGGGCCCGCGGAGGCACTACGGGCGGTACATGGCAAAGGCCAGCAGGCTGAGGAGCAGGGTGAAGCCGGCCAGACCCAGAGTGGCCGTCAGGGGGAAGAAGGGCCGGTACTGGATCTGGCAGTACCAGAGCAGCAGCAGCAGCAGCAGCAGCAGAGGCAGCAGCAGGCCGCCCACTTCCAGCCCGGAGGGGCCTGGCTCGGACCCCGGCGGGCAAGGGGGGGGTGGGGGCCCGGCGCGGGTGGACACGTGGCAGTGGAGGACGCAGTTGGGCGGGAGGTGAAGGCTGCCCAGGGTCTGGGTGTCGTCTCCTAGCAGCTGCCCTTGGTAGATGAGCCGCACCTGCTGTTCCCGGCCGGGAAACTGGGTCCTGAGGAGAGAGGGACCTGGGTAAGAGAGCAGGCCTCAGGCAATCCTGGTCCCTTGCCCACAACAACACTCCCACCGCTCACCTTTGCCTCCACCCACCACCCACGTGGTGGCCTCTAAGGGGTTCCCCTGCTGCTATAGGGGAATGATACAGTGTGTGATGTGGGGACCTCAGTTCCGTGGTCTGTAGAAGGAGGGGGAAGTCTCAGATCTCTCTGGCTGCCCTTCCGGGTCTGTAATCACTCCCACCCCAACTTTAGAATTTCTTTCCTGTCCTCATCCCAGCTTACCTTTTCAGGGAGCCAATGGTATCGTGGGGCCAGGCCCTGGCCACCTGCTCCGAATCATTGAGGAATTTCAGCCGCAGCACTAGGGGCTCCTGGGGGGAGTCTGGCGATGGCGACGTTGCTGAGAGCCCCATCCCAGGCTCTGGCTCTGCAGCCTGACCTCTGTGTCTCAAGCTGGGGGTCTCGGCTCCTGGGGCCTCCCCTCTGATGCTGCCGGTGACCGCCATGGCTTCCCCGGGCTGTGCTGGTGTTGGAGTCCCTGATGGCTGGGGCAGTGGGTCGGCACCCTCCGCGGTGTGTGTTGAGACCCAGGCGAGAGCCAGCACCAGAAGGCAGGCAAGCACCGCGAAAAGGATGGTCACCTCATCACCCACCCCTTCAATCAAGGCCATGGCACCTGCCTTGCCTGCCACCTTACTGAGCTGGAGAGGCACAAAGAACCCATGAGGGGCTGGCTCACTGGCCAACAGCCCCGTGACCTCCAACGGGCTCCTGACCCCACCCCACCCCTCCCTCCCAGTCCTGATTCCTCTGCCCCCTCACTCACGCTCCACACTAGGGCACATACTGTTCTGAAACCTGGTTGTCCCAAACTTCCGTCCAGTGCCCCTTCCCATAACCAAATCCCAAGTCCTAACTTTTTGTAACCTGAGTTCTAGGTCTTTAACCATCTCCCCAATTCATTCAAACACTATCTCGATGTAAGGGCCTTGATCTCCTAAGCAACCTCTCCCCTAAATTCAACCCTTAGCAAACTTCACCCCAAAGCTTACCTAATCTTCCATCTACTATCTCAAAGTTTACCTTCTCCTTCGTCTATTTCACCCCAAAGCTTATCTACTCCTCCATCATGAAAGTTTCTGCAAGGGGGAAGAAAATGGGGTTCTATGCCCCCGACCCCCAGCCCCGTTATCATTTAACCAAACCCCACCCGCGGCAGGGGGCTGCTTCCCAAGGCTTCCCCACACCATAGGTCAATCTCCGCCCTTTGGCAGTTCGGAGCTTCCGAGGGCTGCCATCCCCCCGCCCCAACTTGGCCCCTCCGGTCTACTCAAGTCCCACCCCGCGGCGGCCCGACTCGGCGCCTCCTCTGGAAGCCTCTCCAAACCCAGTCCGCAGGCGGACCCGAGATCCCGCCCTGGGAATTCGAGACTTCGCCCTCCCCACCCCCAACTCCTCCATCACCCCTCCCATCTTCCCGCCCCCCGGAGCCGCGGGAGGGCACGGGCGAACCCGGGGCGGGGCGAGCGGGAGCCAGCTGGGGCCCGGGGCGGTGGGGTGGGCGCGGTCACCGCGCGGGAACTCACCGCCCGGCTCCGCCACCTCCATAGCGGACCCTCGGGCACTTCCGGGCGGGAGGCGCCGAGGTCGCGGACACCTGAAGGCACCCCCTCCTTCCCTGCCGCCGCCGCCCGGAGTATTGTGGGACTTGTAGTCCTGCGCGGTGCTCATTTCCCGCCCTCCGCCCTGCTAACCCACGTGCCGGGATCCGCAGGCTAGTCCTGGTGACCGCAAGTCGCTGAGGTGCCCGCGGGGGCGGGCTTCAGGGTTGTGCCCTTAACTCAGCCTCCTGAGGTTCGGGCAACAGCAGGACCCGCCACCTCCCCCGCTGGCATGCAGGGCATCTGTCACTCCAAAAACCGACGTCAGCGAGAACACGTCAGAGCCCCCGAGTTTCCAGATGCAGGCTCTGGGGAGCTCAGGTGACCCCTACCCCGTTCTGTTCTTATGTCAGAGTGGACGCCAAAAGGCACTGTGGGCCCCCTAAATTGACTCTTTGGCTCAGAGCCCGGTACCCATGGGCTGTCCCAACAGCTTGGCCTGAGGACATTCTTCCCCAGGGCTGGCCACCGTGGCTTGGGCTGTCCTGTCTCCCTGGTCCCCTCCTCCACCTTGCCCCTGTAAGACTATGCGAGAAGCATAGACCTTGGAACCTGGCACAAGTGCTGATCTCTTATCACGTGTTTATTAACTGTATAACCTTGGGTGCGCTATTGAATCTTGTTGAATCTTAATTGCTTTGTTCCTAAAACATAATTCATAAGGAAATTGTAAGGAAGAAATTAATAAAATTAATTTTATTAAACAAGTGTGAAAACTATGTCAGGGACCTGTTATACAGTAGGTATTTGCTCACCTAGTATTACACTAGGGTACCCTAGAGTACACTCTCCACCCAGATCTGGGCCTGGAAACTGGGTCCTTAGAGTGTTACAGTGTAGAGGACTTTGAGCCCCAGCCTGGCTTGGGCCAGCTAATTGCTATGAGCTTTTCCCTCCTTCCTCTGGGCCACAGAGATCTCATGTCCTGGGTTTTATAGGCCAGTCTTGGTGAAAAGTAACGCACCCTAGTGTTTCCATAGTTCATACTTACTTGTGGGAGCATGTACCCCAAGTGGGAGCAGGTACTGCCTTGGGAAAGTCAGTTTCGATGTATAACATACAGACCTAACGTCTCTCTAGTTCCTTCCCTGCCATTCATTCGTTTATTCTAGAAACATTTATCAAATGTATACTAGATGTCAGGCACTGTGCAAGATGCTGGGAATACAATGGTGAATCATACAGGTGAACTTATCCCTGCTCTCACATGGCTCATATAAAGATAGGGGACAGATATGCAGACAAGCCCACCGGTCCTAACACAGATCTGTGCTGCCTGCTGGGGCAACACATATGAGAAGCTCTTTACCCTCAGCATTTCTCCTGGGAGGTACCTGGTGCAAATTCTTGGTGTCAGTTCTAGTCAAGTATCTAAAAGAGATGTTCGCTGTTGCTTTCAGAATTACACAGCATTGGAGCTAGGTAGGTGTTCTGCTCAACCACTGTATTTTGCAGATGATGCACAGAGAAGCTACATCAGTAAGGTCAGACATGTAGATAGAACCTGAATCTCTCAAGAGCTGGGGAGGCCCCAGCTGTTGAGTACCTTGCACCTGGTTCTTTGGACAGTACAGGACACTTGGGTGACTGCGTTGGTACTGGGGCAGAGTTGTGTGAGTAGCCAGATGGGGGCAACTCTTTGCAAGGAAAAGACTCAGCTTGGCTTGGGATGTGGAAGTGTGTGTAAAGAGACCAGCATATGTCAATTGTGCCGGAGGACATCTGGGCACAGCCCTAGGAGGCTGACTGGCTGGGGCCAGTGCCCTGCACATGCCCTCTCTTAGGCATTTTTGCAAAGGTTGGGGATGAGGGCTGACTAGCAGGACTGTAGACAGCTTTGGCAATGGGGGTGCAGAGGAACGGAAATATGGAAGGGAGTTCCCTGGCCCCCGAAGGAGTGGACAGGAACACAAGATGGGCAAGGGGTTGAGGACAAGAGAGCCATGTGGGCTCTGGTGAATCTCTTGAATGGGGTGGGTGGGGGAAGAAGGCATCATATTGTATTCCTCTCTCTTCTTTGCCTATGTACCAGCAGGTCCGAGGCGGTGGCAGACAGTGAACCATCCCAGACCCACAGGGGAGTCTTTTAGGAGAAGCCTGAAGATGAGCGAGGGGCTGTTGTTTAAAGGGCCATTTCCAAGGGCCTTGTTGGTGAAGCTCTCAGGGAGAACAGGAAATAGAAGCCGGGAGCCCAGATTTCCAGGCTGTGTGCTGCAGCTCGCAGTGGAGAGTCCCGGGGACGGCCAGAGAGAGAACCCCGCGGACAGGGTGGTCTCCAGGGGTGATCTGGGGCGGGAACAGGGGAGCCTGTGCAGCACTAAAGGCAGGACCATGTAACTGAGACGCAGCTGCGCCTGGGCTAGCGGCCCTTCTCGGCCAATCCGCCGCGTTCATCAGCACCCTCAGGCGCAGGGCACTGCTCGGGCAGTGCCCAAAGATCGGACACCCCGCCCAGACTAGAGCAGGGAGGCGAGACAGACAGCCGGGGCCGGGAGGAGGCCAGCGCAGCTGTCCACTTGGAGCGGGTAGCCCTCAAGGCGGGTGTGGGTGGGGGCTGGAGAGCAGGCGGAAGGGCCAAGGCTAGGTGGGAGGGGCCCGGGCGCCGGAGCTGGAGCGCGCGGCTTTGGGGTGGAGGCTGCCGAGCCAGCTAGCAGGCGAGGGGCGGGGGCGCTGGGGCCGGCGCGCAGGAGGGGCGGGGGCGGCGGGGAGGGGGGCTCGGGCTGCGTGTGCCGGAGCTGGCGGGGGCGGCGGTGCGTGCGCATGACGCGGGGGGAGGGCCCGGGCCGCGCGCTCCCGGTCCCGTTGTTGTTGCCGCTGGAGGCTGCTCCGAGGCAGCGGGATCGCGGCGCCGAGAAGCGCCCTGCAGCGGCGGCCACAGCGTGCGCGGCGGCGCCTCCCGGCCTCGGCCCCCGGCCTCCGGCCTCATGCGCTAGCCCCGCGCCGCCGGCTCCGTAGTCCCGGC